AGATATATTCAGTAAGATCTCCATTCAGGAATGCAATTTTGGCATCCATCTGCCAAATCACGTAGTCATGGTATACTGCTACAGCTAGCAGGATCCTAATAGATTTAAGCATGGCCACAGGCGAAAAGGTTTCCTCATAATCGATGCCCTCTTTCTGAGTATACCCTTTTGCCACTAGACGAGCTTTGTAGGTCCCAACCCTGCCATCGGGGCCGTTCTTTCTCTTATAGATCCATTTGCAACCAATTGCTTTGACCCCGGGGGGCGGATCTACTAGAGTCCAGACTCCATTGGCCTCCATTGAGTCTATCTTAGCTCTCATGGCATCTACCCACTTAAGGGTGTCTATGTCCAACATAGCTTTCGCATAAGTCACGGGATCCTCCTCACTAGTCAAGGCTTTTACTAGGTAACTATCCTGATCATAGCCAAAACAGACTGGTGGCCTGGACACCCGGGTATATCTTCTAAGTTAGTCACTACCTGGAACATGTGGGACACCTCCCACTACATCTGAGCTCTCCTCATCAAGAACAATTTCCTAACGATGATTGTTCAGGATGTAATCGTTTTTCAAGAACTGTACATTTCGACTGCAGAACACCTTCCGCTCACTTGGGTCATAGAATAGGTAACCTATAGAGCCTTTTGGGTAGCCTACGAATAGGCATCGGCTGGTCTTGGATTCCAATTTGTCCAGATTCATTCTTTTAATGTGAGCCGGACAACCCCAAATCTTCAAGTGTCGTACACTTGGTTTCTTTCCGGTCCAAAGCTCATAGGGAGTCTTCGGAACTGATTTGGTTAGAACCCAGTTCAGCATGTATAGCGCAGTCTCCAATGTGTATCCCAAAAGGATGTGGGTAACTCTGAACGGATGAGAAGTGACCGGACCATATCCTATAAGGTCCTATTCCTCCTCTCCAAAACACCATTAAGTTGTGGTGTAGCAGGAGGAGCCAACTGTGATACTATCCCGTTGACTTTCAAGTAGTCCCTGAATTCGTCAGAGAGATACTCACCACCTTGATCCGATCGAAGGGTCTTAATTTCTGTCCCTAACTGTTTCTCGACCTCTTATCTAAACTCTTTGAACTTTTCAAAGGATTCGGACTTATGCCTCATTAGGTACACGTAACCATACCGAGAATATTCATCGGTGAATGTAATAAAGTACACGTGCTGGTTACGGGTCCTAACACTCAGGGGACCATATACATCAGTATGTATAAGGTCAAGCGTGCCTGTACATCTTTCACGCTTACCGTTAAATGGCCTCTTTGTCATTTTACCTTGAAGGCAAGGCTCATAAGTGGGAAGATTTTCTACAGTTAGAAAATCCAAAGGACCATCCTTTACTAGTCTTGTGATTCGGTCAATACCGATATGGCTAAGTCGGTAATGCCACAGACACGTGGGATTAACTGTATCACGTACTCTTTTCTTGGGGTTATCAACCGACGTAGTTTCGGCTTTGTTAGTTTCTAGAGAAGAATGTCGAACATAGAGACCATTCTCCAGTTCCCTGTATGGGATGAATTTATTGTTTCTTTTAATAATAATCGTATTATTGAAAAAGACAGAATATCCATCTGCACAGTTTTGAGACAGAAATCAAATTTCTTCTTAAATTTTGCACAAAAAGACAATCTTTCAGTACAATAATTCATTCTCTAAAATATAACTTTACGGTGCCTATTGTCGTAGCTGCAACGCTTGAAGAAGTCCCCAAGTAGAGCATCACCTCTCCATCATTCAGCCTTCTGCTTACCTTGAACCCCTGCAGTGAGTTACACGCATGAGTTGAAGCCCCAGAGTCAATACACTAGGACGCAGAAGCCACCAACAAATTGGTTTCTATGACACAAGATTCGAAATTACATTTCTTGGATTTTAGGTACTGAGGATAGTTCCTCTTCCAGTGGCCGAATTGTTTGCAGAAGTGACACGCATCCGATGCCCTGTCTTGGTAGTTTTCTTCTAAGGCTGTGGCTATGCTTGGTAGCCTGTGGCTATGCTTGGTAGTTTTCTTCTGAGGCTTCTTTGCCTTCCTCTTTTTCTTACCCGATTTGCTAGCTTCAGCAAGCATAGCCACAGGCTCATCCTTCTTAATTAAGTCCTCGACCCTCTACAACATATTGCTGAGTTCCTGGACGTTGACATTCAGCTTGATCATATTATAATTCATTATGAACGGGTTGAAGTTAAGGGGTAAAGAGTTCAGGATGACATCTACTTGTGTGCTAAGATCTAGCCCGGATCCAAGGGCTTCCAACTCATTAATGTAGCCCATCATCCGAAGACAATAGTCATGAACCTTCTGCCCCCTGGACATCTGCGCGGTCATGAATAACTTCAAGACTTTCTGTCGAGTAGAATGGTTCTGCTCCTCGTACATTGTCTTTAAACTATCCAATATTTCCTTAGCAAGTTCGATCTGAATAAACTGCCTCTGTATCGGATTGTCCAATGAGGCAATGACAAAGCAACAGGCTAGGGAGTTTTTATCCTCCCAATCTTGGTATTCCCTCCTTCGGGCCTCAGAAGCCCTATCACCCGGACGCTCCGGGGCAGGATTCTTAACTACCTTGTCTTTTTTTTTCCGATGTTAAGACCAGCATAAGGTTACGGTACCAGTCGGCATAGTTCGGGCCCTTAAGCTTGTTGTCATCAAGAAGCTTTGCAAATTGTTTGTTTGCCATTTTCTGGTAAAACAACTAACAGTAGTCCACAACCTAATTTGATTCATGTTCATTTCATAGATATGGCTTTTAATCTATGTTCTATTTCCATTTGTTCAACTCTGAGATTTCCCTCCTATCTCAGTGACGGAGATAGCGACTTGTCTCTGGAAATGTGGGAAACCACATAGGGTTTATGGAGCCAACTGTTTCAGCTGCAAAACTCCACCACCTTTCTGTGAAGGATCATATCCACTCATCATATGAGTTTTCCCTTTGGCCCCTGTCAGACAAGGTTCAGAGCTGTTTTCAGGTAAACCTTTCTGTCTAGTGAGTGCTTACCCATCATATTCGTGAATGCCAAGGTACCATGAGAGAGTTCCCATTTTCTGGAGAAGCCCTCCCACATCGGTCTATGACGCCCCTATCATCTTATGAAACACTCAGGCAAGCCCAACAACAAATGGATAGCCCATTTTCTGGTTCGTTTCCTCATTACTGAAGGACCCATCCTCATGCTAATGATAGAAGGCCTTTAGAGAGTTCATCACATGAATCTCCCTATCACATGCACTCATATTTGTTAGAGGGAACAAAATTACGCCCTAGTTTAATTTAGGTCAAACCAAAGTGGCTCCCACTGGCTTTCAGATTTCGGTGGGCCTAAATCGGCTAGGGTTCTACACGTAACCTCTTCAGGAGGTGTGGGACCCACCACTGAGGGAGGTCATCCAATGACCGAAAGGGACACTATGGCAATGATGTGCATTCAGCCATGGTGTGCGTAAGGGCAACTATCGTATCTGCATGGGCCAAACACTTATGGCCCATGAACGTAGCACAACACACATCCATACATCACATAAAGGGAAGAATTGATTGAATCAATTAAATATCTATAAAGCCCATTTTAAAGCCCATTTTTAATTCATAATATAACCATTAATATTATCTAGGTATATGGGCCGAATTAGGGTTGACCAGTTCGGCCCATATAGCTTTATCTGCGAAGTGGGATTTTAGCAGTTTTAACAACTTAAAACTAGGCCTTTACAAGTTGGGCCAAATTAAACATTTAATTAATCATCAATCCTCAGGCCCATTAGTGGGAAAAATAGGGCTGACATTCAGCCTTGATCGAACCCGAGATTCGGTCCAACCAGTTTGGACCAATCTGCTTCGAATGGGTCTAGGGTTTGATCTTTAATTAAAGATTTAATTCAATAATTAATCTGAAATTAAATACTGATAAAAGAACAAACAAGAATCAGACAGGTAGGGCTGTTCGCACAATCCATCTTGCAAAACAGAGATTAGATCACAGTTTGTAGTTTCATAAACTGCAAATCGCAGATAGCGATTCTCCCATCTGCGAAATCTCCTTCCTTGCGCCGCCATCTTCGAGCCAAAATAAAGTAAATAGAAATCCTAATTTCTATTATTATTACATCAGATCGAATACCTATACATTCAGTGTAAAAAATAAAAAAAAAATATTTTACAGACCGAATGTAATAAAATAATTCAGAAACTGCAAAATTACAGGTTCCCTATGCCAATCAAGATTTCGATCTCCAAATGCACGAATCTAAAAAGTAGCAAAAGGACCAAGAAGAACAAAAACTCAACGGGATCCAACAGAAGAAACAAACAGATTGGGTGAATCTTGTCGAGCTCTAACCTCTTAAGGACGCCATTCCAGACATATAAGTACACACCTCTCAACATACAAAAAGAGACACATTCTATAGCATGCGGAGAACTAGGATTTTCACAGCTGGATACCTAAGATACCTAAGATGAAGGTCAACCCTAGCAAAAGAAACCAGGAGAACACCATAGATTTCAGCGCAACATGAAATACGATATAAACAAATGCTACGAAGTAAAGATAAAATTGAAGCCCTAACCAGACAAGCTAGGCTACTTAATGACCTACATCCGGGATGGGAGTAAAAGCCAATGAGGGTTCAGATGAGCAACTAACAAACCGATTCATAGTGAGGGCGAAGTGGTTCCCCAAGCTATTTGGCCATTTCCTTCTCTTTTGTGCCTCATCCATTTTTAAATTATCAACTCTAAAATCTTTCTTGCTACTTAAATCATTGTTTTTTTATATTTTTTTCTGTGGTTTGTCCGTGGCCCTTCTATTCCTCTTCAAATTGCAACAGATATTCCTAAGATGAGGCTGATAAAAATAAACTTCAATGCCTCAGGGATAGTAATGTCAAGTTTTCCATTTAATACATATGAAATGAAGAAAAGTCTATACTTTATATAAAGTGGATAGTTGCGTTGAGAGAGAGATAGTCTCAACTTTCAACGTGGTGAAACATCAGAAATAGTGGCCATATTGACAGAACAAATGACTGAAGAAGAGTGATTTGGTTGAAGAATGAGTGTTGCCAAGGCAAATGCTGGTTTTGTAGGTAGAGGAAGAGGTACGGATTCATTTGTTAACATAAGAATTACAGATGACATGGTGGGCCTATCAGCTGCATCTTCTTGAACACACAAAAGCCCAATGTGGATGCATCTCATCACCTCTGCCTTCCACCTTGTATTTGTATCCATTAACATTACTGCATCTGCAAATTCCAACCATTTCCCCTCAACCCATAGTCTCCTTGCCTGTCATTTCACATTTTTTTTTTCCATCGATTGTCATTAATTAGATTGTTGGTGATGATATCCATCTATATCTTCGTGTACTCCAATTAAAAATTAAGCAAGTAAAGAGACTTACGAAAGCAAGAAGGGTTTGCGCATGCTCTGTACGGTAGAAGCCATTGTTTCTTTTCCCACTTATAATCTCAAGCAACATAACACCAAAGCTGAAAACATCCGATTTCACCGAAAATAACCCCTCCATTGCATACTCCGGAGCCATGTATCCACTGTTTATCATTTATTGGAAGTTTCAAAACCAGATATGAGTAATTGAAATTAGAGATGGTTGTGAGAGTATCAAATATCAACCTCAGTCGTAAAAGAACAAAAGCAATAACTTGAAAATATGACCAATCTCCCCAGTTGAATCGATTCTCAGTGTACCTATCATTCATTTATCTACATGGACTGCAGTGGTCACTGGTCAGGGTGTTCCTTGGAATTAAAAAATTAAGAAATTTGGGTTGCCACCCCAAATATTTGTTCGATTTAACTGCTGGTTTTTATGGGTGTGGGATTTGGGCTCAGACCTTACTCTCCCAACTTCCAAAGTCCAAACCAACCCACCAAATGTGATTGTTCATTTCTGATTTTCTGTTAAATGGACTGGGCTGGGCTCTGCTCTGTGGGCTGGGGTTGTGTTGTCAGACCACAAAATGAAAATGGAGCGAAATATAGAAATGGGAATGGGTCTGCTTTAGGTCTCTTTTCAATTCATGCATCTGAGGAAAAACAAATCATCGAGTAATGAAAAAAAAAATGTACAAACTTACTATGTCCCAACAACTCTTCTAGTATTAGCCGCATTTTGATTTTCACAAAAGATCCTGGCCATCCCAAAGTCTGAGATCTTTGCGGTCATGTCGTGGTCCAACAATACATTGCTAGGCTTGAGATCT